AGCCATAAAAAAAAAAAAAAAAAATTTTAGAAAATTTTTCTAATAAGTTTACAGTGTTTTGTTTTTACTGGGTACAAATGTCAGAATTTCAGTAGGACTCCGGGAATCAAAACCAAAATTTTAATGTGTTGTAGTACAGGACACCAACTAAGAACCCCCGAACAAAAAAGTATCTGTGAGGGGACCAACGAATAAAGGAGAGTTTAGACCTTGTCTCACCACGTTTATTGGTGATAAAGATTATTTATATTTATGTGTTTGATATGTGTATGTACTTGACACAGAATAAGATAACCCCTCTCCATCACACCGAATACAAGTTACTAAATATAATGTTTCACAACGCTGTGGTACTCATGCCACCAGAGTTATCCCTGTAGGACTCCAAAATATATTGGGAGGACAAAAGAAGCCCAGTTTAGACTTGGCTAATGCTGATTTGAAAGTAGTTAGTATTTGAAAAAACAAATCTAGGCTAACGTAATTCCGAGTACTTATAGGAAGTCATCTGTAAATTGTATGTGTTACCGAACTAGTGAGGTGAAAGTTTAACTTAAAACCTACTAAATCAGTTGAAACATTGTGGTACCACAAGGACCAGGTTTTTACTGGTGGTTTAGTTCTTTTTCCTTAATCATCAGTTGTATGGCTTTTAACATTATAACAGACTTATCGGACTCAAAAGAATGGCAATTCACCAATTACTTTTTGCCGTAATATCCAAAAAAATTTACAATTCTCGGGAGTCTTGCGACAAAGATCGTCTACAACGCTAAAAAAAGGGGGATCGGGCCTCCCCCTTAACCCCGGAATTGTCCAATTTACTTTAACACCACTGCTAATACCAAAAAACACAATTAAGCATTATCGTCGATTTTTGTCCTGGCCAGGGTTTAACTGGCCGCTTGTGGTTTCATTCCCCCCCTTATGCTTCTGTTATACCTCCCAATTATCACAAAGATGGTCGGCTTATCTCCCAGTTCAAGTCCTCAGGTGAGCGTGAACACAACTCCTTCCTTCGCGACACACCACTTAGTATCTGTGGTGACCGACAATCTTAGTCTCCTTTTTGTGACCCGGACATCGGATATGTTCGTTCCTACATCAGCCTGAGTCGACATGACCGGGCATTGGTTCTCATCGAGAAAATGCTATAGTTTGCCCGCACTCAGTTTGTATCGGTAAAAATATTTCCTTGTTAAATTGTCAGTGACTCGTCGCGACTTCGTGGAACGAACGTTCTGTATAAAATCAAAGTTAATGCTTTGTTTCTGGGTCCCCCGTTATACAAGAGGAAAATTTTTCCGAGCGGGCCTAATACGTTTTAGGGGAAAAAAGTGCATAAAAGATGTAGTTGTGACACCTATTCTCTAAGAAAAACCCCCTTCAAAGTCCTTGTTTCCTAAGAGAGAGAAAACAGGACTAGTAAACGATATTTTTGGCCCGACCAGACTTTTTACTCCGACTAGCTAAAACCCGGGTGACAAACTACAAGTATGCTACAAACAGAACACCATTGGGTACCCTGCGGTTAGTGGGCTTGGTTCCCCATGCTGGCGCCGCGGGGGGGGCGGCGGGGGGCTGCGAATCAGTGGCGCACTCTACGAGGCGAGGATCTCCGTGGTAAGACACAGAAAAATTGGTTTACAACAGAGGAGGTCTCCCCGCGACGCCCTTTCCCCCCGACCCGGAATAAAACGTCAGATTTCATTTGGCGTCTCTTAGTCCCGTGAAAACTTTTGTCCCCGACTTTTTCGTCCCCCTAACCCGTACACCTAGCAACCGTTACGAAACCACAAAAGTCCCGCGTTAGTTGCTCTGTCACAACGACAATCATCCATACGCAACTCTGGCCATATAGTAGTAACTACTTTGGCTTCCGTCACTATTGTAGCTCCCCCCTCGGCCCCAAATTGAAAGTCAGTACTCATCGGCAACTCCCTCCTCACCGGCTCTCCTCCCGGAACAAATTTTGGCGAGACCCCCCACATGAGTCGTCCCCCCGCGCTCTCCGTGGAGCCCTCTCATGGACTCCAGGCGCGGCAAGCTGCCCAGAGCGGTACGACTGCGAGCGCTCAGAAAGAGGTTGGAGCTCGGGACGCGACGACTTCGCGTGACCCCGTTTCCTCCTTTCTTTATACTGTCAAATTATTCTCTAATTACTCCGCCGCACCGTCTTTCATTCCCAACCTTCGTTCGTCATGTCGACCAAGTACAATCCATAAATTCTTCCACACTTCGTCAGCCGTAAGGACCGTCGTGAACCTTAATCTCTTTCATTAGCAACACGTCTTACATAGTCCGAAAAAAACTCTCTCTCCGGCCCAAAAATATAGGACCTTTTCTCCCGATTCCGATCTTTTGAAAATCACGTGATCGGCTCCGATCCCCGATCACGTGATCGGATCGGGACATCTCTAATTATTATTATTATGCATTATCTCAAAGACCATTTTCGAACTCTTAAACTGTGATCGAGGTATCCTATAAAGCATTTTTAATCCACTTCCTTTTGTAAAGTCTACTACTGCTAAATGTATTGTTTACTAACCAGTTATGTTAACTTGTAAAAGAACTATGAGATGCATGTGCATAATAAAAAAGAAAATGTGTGTGTTTCCTTTTAAGATGGAAGAACTGGTGGGTCCGAGGCATCCTCACGCTAGCCATGATCTCCTTCTTCTTCCTCATCATCTACCTAGGCCCCATAGTGCTTATGATGATTGTGAGTACAAAACTGATGGTGCCGTGCAAAACCCTCTGACTCCTCCAGAGTTACCTTACAGAGAATATGTTAGAAAAGTGACTTCCAACCAGTGCTGAAAAAGAGGTGTAAGACTTGAAAAAAAGTCATGGTTGGTTATGTAAAGTCTGAGCTATGGGCTAGTTTATTTACATAATTATATTAAAGGTACAGGCACATTTTCTCCATGAGCTGTACAGTGTTTTAGATGTCATTCAATATGTTCTCTGCTGCACGTTCAGTGGACTTCCAACACATAAATGTAAATTGTTATCTCATGAAATTAAGTGACATCTTGTAATAGCACGCAAGATCTCTGCACATGGGAATTCCCTGAAGATAGGCCTGTCAGCCATTTTATGTCACTATGGTACCAGGACATATTCTCACACACACACACACACACACACACACACACACACACACACACACACACACACACACACACACACACACACACACACACACTTTTCTGACGCCCCACTGTTTCTCTGTGTGTAGGTCCTCTTTGTTCAGATAAAGTGCTTCCAGGAAATCATCACCATTGGCTACAGTGTGTACCACTCCTACCACCTGCCCTGGTTCAGGACGTTGAGCTGGTGAGACACACACACACACACACAGACACACACACACATCTATCACATTTGGGTGTCATGAACATTGCATATGTGCTTCCATCTTATTGTGTTGTCTTGCTTTTTTGTCTTTTTTGTTGCAGACTTCCTGAGGTGTGTTTACTGACCTGATCACATTTGGTTTAGATTCTAGATTATTAAGCCAATCAGCAAAAATGGCAAAGATTGTGAATTATCAGAGCTGTGATTTTAGTGGAGATGCACCGATCGAAGTGGCCGATCATTTAAATACAACATGATTATTTTACATCATATCCAGGCGAACACACACGCCATGTCGTCGGTATAGCATTTTTTCAGTGCGAGCAACGAAGACCTAAAGTTTTGGATTCGTAACACCGGCAGGACCTTGGAGGAAAATACTTAATGAGACACTTCAATAATATATTGCAAATCATTCCCATGCTGCCCAAAGTAATCAAAATATAATACACACACCTTTGTGTAAATAGATACTGACTTATACATATTTTTGTATAATTAAGTAGTTAAACTGACACATAAATAAATAATAAATAGGGGAGAGTCTTTAATAGGTGAATCAGGGGGTCAGCAGTTCAATCCCACCTCCTGACAACATGCGAAGAGTCCTTGGGAAAGACACTTCACCTTAAATTGCTCCTGTAGGCAAGTCTTCAGTGTTAAATTATATGAAGGTCACTTTGGATGAAGGCGTCAGATATATAATATGTAATGTAATAAAAGGCCTGCAGAAACAGTACAGAGTAATATTTGTATCAGATGTTTCTCTTATATCTTATATTAATAATCTATGAACATTACATTTAATTTTCACCAAGAAAAATGTGACTTTGGTGTGACATTTCCATCGGTGCATCTTTATTTCTTAGCTTTAGTGGTGTACATTAGTTTGATAGATAATCCTGACATTCCCTATGCCTTCAGCAGAAAAATCTAAACTCTCTTCTTTGACAAAACATTCAGTCAAATGCAGTGAGATGAGTCGGTGAGTTCATCAATGGCCTCACTGGTTTTTCTGCAGGCATACTGAATGTCTGATATGCTGCTGGTGTGAAGCCTTGAAACATGAACATGTCTTCCACCCCACAGGTACTTCCTGCTGTGTGTCAACTACTTCTTCTATGGTGAAACCGTGACGGACTGCTTCTTCACTCTGGTGCAAAGAGAGGAGCCGCTTCGCATCCTCAGCAAATACCATCGATTTATCTCCTTTGCCCTCTACCTCACAGGTACAAACTCTGACAAGCCTGGGGGGAATATAGCTATAGTTATAACATCTGTCCACATTTCGGCATGTTAGAGGGATCAACTTAAAGGTCCAAAGACTTGGATTTGTCTAACTTGGCACAGGGGTTATGGAGCCAGTGTGTGATAAGCCAACCTCAGATTCACCCTTTATTTTTGAAAAGAAATGCAAGGGTCTCCAAACTGCTTCCCCTTAATGTTGACAATTGAAATGATCAGTTTGCGATTATTATGTTTTTGCAAACGGGTTCATGCATTTTATTCTTGGATAATTCGTTTTTTTTTTTAAAGCAATGCCCATCAATAGAGCTGTTTGAATATGTGAAGGTAGATTTGAAAAGTCATCTGAGAATCTAAAGAGAACCAAGTCTCTTAAAATGTAAATCAATTCTTATCAGAATGAATAAACGAGTGTGCAGTTCCAACATATAGGCAACAAGCTACAATCATTCGACTTTCATTTGACTTTCATTGCAGTTTTGAGATTTTTATTGAGGTAAAAGCTAAATGAGAGTAAAGGCAGAACAATAGAAAACAGAGGCAGAGTGTTAACCTCTTAGTAGTTAACAAGTGATGATTAGGAGAGATTATTAGTGTATGAGTTGAAACTTTTTTTTTTGTTGAAGAAATCTTACTCTTTGTGCCTTTTTTCTGGAATAGCTTGTTCTTTTTATTTTCAAAGTAAAGTTTCCTTGCATAGTGCAACTAAGCAGAGAGGAAGTGACATGTGGTGTACCACTCACACTTTTATCACTTTGACCAAACTCCAGCCACACACGTGATCACTTTCTACTGGATAGTTGCACTAAGGCCTTGTCTAAATATGCCACAGTGCCAAGGTCCTTGGCGTCAGAGTTTAAAATGTTATCAAATGAAATCACTTAACTTAATGTGGGCAGATAAGAAGTGCTTTTTCACATGGTAAAGGATATAGAGCAGTGGTGCCCAACCTTTTTTGAACCGAGAGCTACTTTTAAAATGGCCAGTCTGCCGAGATCTACCAGTCCAAATAGAGAGGCGTAGCCATTACTGACAGCCTACGACCAGGTAAATACACAATGCTGTGCATTCAGCTGTCTTTTCAGGTCCCTCACCTTTTGGGAGCGTAGGGCAGAATGAGGAGGGAATTCCGTCTCGTAGCGTTTGTGCACTATTTTGAAATGTCGCTCCTAAATTACCCTTCTTCGGTAAAGCCACGCTTGCATTGCAGATGAGACAGATGGACTTTGAATTGGAATAGATTTAGAATAGAATAGAAAAATAATCATCCTCCCACTCGAAGTGAAAATGATATATTTTGGGCTTTTTTGCTTCTGCCATAATTGCGGTCTTGTGTGTTTGCGGACTGTCACTCCTGTTGTTGACACGGACAACGTCAGCGAACTAGTGCACACTGACCACCAGCCACCCCGACACATGGGGTCACACCGGCCACTCACAAAGCTTTGATGCGTTCAAGTGCATTATTCTGGCGCAGGAAGATTATGTTATAGGACATTAACGATAAAAAATATATACAGTCTATGGATAAAACAGAATATTGTTGTTCTATTTTTAGACACATCTCGCGATCGACTGGGAATCTCCACTGGTCGATCGCGATCAACTGGTTGGGTACCCCTGATATAGAGTATATATATAATGATCAAGCTACTGTTTAAACAGTCATTTGCTAATTACATTGCCAATATTGTATCCGGACGTCTTAGTTTTGTCAATTTGAAAAACTGAATTAATTCTGTTAATCCAGAGTTGAATGCCAACATTTAGAATATCCTTTATGAACATAATAACCCTAAAAGTTGGTTATTTTAGGCTCTGTGCAAACTGAAGAAGTCCCACTTCCTGTCTGCAGGTTGTCAGTTGGTAATTCAGTTCTGCTGCAGCTGAACAGGAAGTGAGGAGGAAGGAAGCACCTTGATTGTCGCTTCCTTTTGCCTTCTATGTTCACACTGAATGGGCCGGCTCTTTCACACGCTTTCAGGCAGCTTTGATGATATTTTGTTAGACCTTGAAGTGCCAGAAAATGCACACATTAATCATATGTAGATTTTTTTTAAACCTTGAAGCGTCCTCCTTCCTCGGGTGTAAACTATGTCTGCTTTAACTTCTTCTTCCCAATAAAAGCACTTTTTTGTCTCTTCTATGCAACATCCTCTACTAAGCTCAGTCTTGTACAAACCTCCTCTCTGCACATTTACTCAGGGCTTTGTCTGAAATAGGTCAAGCTAAATTTAGATGAGTTGGAAGAGAGATGAACATAATTCTGACTTAATTAACCCCCCTCTCATTCACAGACCTGGTTATATCAACATTTTTAACGCAGCATGTGTTGTTGCAGGTTTCTGCATGTTTGTGCTGAGCTTGGTGAAGAAGCACTACCGCCTGCAGTTCTACATGGTGAGTGGCAACCTGGAGGCTCCTGGGTTATTGATGAGGCAAGATGAAATACGGGCCCTCAAGTGTTTGTAGAAGAGGGCTGGAGATTGCTCTAATAAATTGTCTGGCATACAGTCATTAAATATGTGTCAAGCAGAAAAATCAGTGCCTGTTAAATCAAAGGGAAAGCAATCATCTAAGACAACATCTGTGATATGGATTAGATCAACAAGACACATCAATCCTGTGATCTTTGGTCCTAATCCAGGCTCTGATCACATAGAGAAGGATATTACAGTGTTTGTAAAAAAGAAATGTAAATTATGCAGCCAGTGGAAGGGTGTATTAGTCTGAGAAATAACTGAGAATAAAGTTGTAAATTAACAAGAAAGATACCTTTTTTGTGTGTTTGATAGAGGTTCATCCAACCTTGCAAGTGAAGCAATCACAAATTAAAAAAACGTAATTCTTTTTTTTCAATGTAGGAATGAATTATTTTTCTTTTTTTTTTTTAATGCTTGATTTTTTTTCTTACAAATCTCAGAGAATACCCACCTTTTTAAAAACAATTTCATCTTGCTTATTTTCCTTACTCTCATTACCCTCCTCCCCTTCTCTTTAATTTAATTTGGCCCTAAAACACTGCTGATAATAGACAAACCTTACTCTTGTTTCAGTGGAATGTATGAATTAATATATATTAAATACGGAGCCATGAGGTTTACAAAAACGCAGCTCTTAATGTTAAATAGGATACGCTGCCTTCAAACACATTTTGAATTTAATCAAGCTAATATCCTTTTCAGCTAAATCCCATCTCAGTGTAGTCACAACTGACTGTAATCACTCGGGTGTTGTGCCACCATCAAATCTATCAATACATATTTGGAACAAGGACCCTTAGTCATGAATATAATTGTGTTGATTGTAAACATATTTTCCTAATGATGTTTTGTCTCCACAGTTTGGTTGGACTCATGTGACTCTGCTGATCGTGGTGACTCAGTCTCACTTCATCATTCACAACCTGTTTGAGGGGATGATCTGGTAAATAAACAGTCCTTTATCGTCTTTGCATAGATTAAGCTTCACCTTAATAGTTTCTTAAGTTTCTGTCTTTAANGTGTGCCTTGGCAGTCTCAGTTGACTCTGCAGACCGTTTACATGCATAACAACCTTCATAACACACAAGGGGACGGGTAATAACCGGAAAAGCATTACATGGGACCTTTAAATGCAATGAGGCCCAGTGTGAGTATAATGTGAAAATGTGAAAAATGTTCAAGCTTATTGAAATGGTAAAACACAGTGGAATATTTTCTTTTTAAAGACAGAAACTTAAGAAATTATGAAGGTGAAGCTTTATCTATGTGAAGATGATAAAGGACTGTTTATTTNTATTCTTTTTAAAGACAGAAACTTAAGAAACTATTAAGGTGAAGCTTAATCTATGCAAAGACGATAAAGGACTGTTTATTTACCAGATCATCCCCTCAATTTGAGGGGATGATCTGGTAAATAAACAGTCCTTTATCGTCTTTGCATAGATTAAGCTTCACCTTAATAGTTTCTTAAGTTTCTGTCTTTAAAAAGAATATATTCCACTGTGTTTTACCATTTCAATAAACTTGAACATTTTTCACATTTTCATATTATACTCACACTGGGCCTCATTGCATTTCAATAAAAAAAACTGCACCTACTATGTTTACCGTGTTTATGGCTCGAACAATCCAAATACATTCATACATTTTCTCTAAGGCTCTTATTTATGAGTCTCATGTTAACTCTTCTCTTCTCACAGGTTCATTGTGCCAATTTCCTGTGTGATCTGTAACGACATTATGGCCTACATGTTTGGTTTCTTCTTCGGGCGCACCCCTCTCATCAAGGTTGGTTGCATATTATTGTTTTCCCTATTTTCAGAACTATTAATGCAAGCAACAGATTTCCAGCCTGTGTTTCATCAATAAAACTCACGTGTTTCTAGTAAATGAAAACCCAATTTTGTAAGTATCACTTAGTTTTTGTCTGAAGTCTGGATATTGACTCTTGTTATGTTACACCACTCCAGAAAATATGAACTTTTTATGACATCCTTTTAGGTATTTCTCCGTAATATTAGCTCCTTCTCCTTGATCTTGTTTACTTATCGGCAGTCAGTGTTTTATTGACACATTTCATGGACACTTTAAAAGTGTTGTTTGGTACATGGTGATGTATTAACCTGCTATCGACACATTCACTGTCCTCTGCAGCTTTCCCCTAAGAAGACATGGGAGGGATTCATCGGTGGATTGTTCTCCACCATAGTGTTCGGCATCATGGTAAGAGTTATAGAGAATCCTGATTTTTTTCATTTTGGGAAGTGTTTTTCTATCTTAACACTAGAACCGCCAACGGGTACATTTTACCTGCAGCTGTTTCTTGATTGTATATAACTTTTCTTCAATAAAATATTCAAGTCTCCCAGTCCGTGACTTTTCCTGAAAATGTGTTATGTAGCACCCTCTGTTGGGTTGTTAAATTGTCAATATGAAGTCAGATTGAAAAGATTGCCCAAAAAATTGCCATTTATACCCATTAGCGCCAGCGGGTAATATTTACCTTATAGGAAATGCAGTGATTTTCGCGCTATTGATCTCGCGCAAAAAATAAACATGACGTGTTGTTATAGCAACGCTTGTTGTTTACTGCGGTTCCCTATACATATATAGATATAGATATAGATATAGATATAGATATATATAGATATAGATATATATAGAGAGAGATATATAGAGAGACACTTTTAGCGATATTTTATACTTCATGCTATCTGCACACTAGATATCATATGGAAGCTGAGAGTCCACAGATTATATCGGTATAAGTTTCATCACTGTGCGATCAAAACTCACTGTTAACCCTGTGTTCTAGTATGATAAATAAAAGAACATTGTACCTTGAAAATCAATGCATTCTAATAGCGGGTACATTTTACCCGTTGGCGGTTTTAGGTATACAGCGACCCCTGGCGGTTCTAGTGTTAAGATAGTTTAGTAAGATAATGCAGCACAAATGCCCTATATCGCTATGAAAATGAAAATTACACTTTAATTAGATCCTTGTTGGCACATGCTACAGCTTTTCAACAAGCTTCATTAAAATCGGTAGACAGAAAAAATGAGCCTAACATCCTGTTAGGCTGTTTCACTGAGATGTGCAACATCTAAATAAACCTTGTTATGGTAGCTCTGAATTATTAAACACTGTACATGTTGCAGAAGTGTTTTTCCTTTTCTTCCTGTTATGTCTGTCATTATTTGACAGTGAAACAAAAAACATCAGAGGCAGCATGCAGTAACTGAAGCTTGCTCTCCCCCAGCTCTCCTACGTGATGTCCGGCTGGCGTTACTTTGTCTGCCCGGTGGAGTTCAACAACGACTCCAACCGGTTCCAGGTGGACTGCGAGCCCTCGGAGCTTTTCCAGCTGCAGGACTACACCCTGCCCTCCGTCCTGGAGTCCTTCANTTATTTTATTACGGAGTTTATGTCCAACACAGACTCTATCATGATTCGTCTTTGGCTACTGAGAGATATGCAAAATACACCTCATGCTAGTACGACACAATACCTCATGCTGTGTGCATTTTTCAAACAAAATACAGTAAAACTATGGTTGCAGGCCTCCAAGTCTTTAATCACTCTTGTGGAGGGGGCTTCTGCTATTGTTTTCTGTTCCCCTATCCATTATATCAAAAATTAAAAATACTTTTATGCAGCCTCTCAACAGTACATGTCTCTCTGCATTCATCATACAGACTTTCATGTGCTAGATGCTTTCATTTGATTGTACGTTACCTAGGAATGATATAAAATAATTTCTGGCGTTACTCAGGCCTTCTCATCTTTTAAGCTGGGGAAGAACTTGCACATATTGTGGCTTGATCTACATATACTTTTTGCCCTCACTGTTATATATTAGATAATTTATCTCTGTATCCTCACTCCTAAGTCCTAACACATCTGAATCTTTATATTCTATGCTATGGTATATTTAATTGCTCATATATTTAACATATCCTATGTTTGTCTCTTGTATGCTTCTTGAAATCCAAAAAAACACATCGTTTTTCTAAGAAACAGATTACAAATCGCTTGAAAATGGTACAATACAAGTGGCAACATATTGTTGATGAAGGTGTTGCCGCTGTGGCTTTATATCATATGAAACTTAAGCCTCGCTCCATTGCGGAGAATTCCTGCGAGGAGCGCGGAAAACGTAAATGAATTCCCCCCCCCCTCCTTTTTTTTTTGCCGTTGACAGGTGGTCGCGAGTCTCTGGCACTGTTATTTTGGGGGTCGCGGGCTGAAAAGTTTGGGAACCCCTGGCATAGATGACGTGCGACATTCCGGCAATTTCTTTTCTACAAATGAGGAAAAATATATTCCCAGAAGCCTTGACGATCAGATCATCATAAGAGCGTATGTCATGCAAGAAAGCCACAGTAAGAGAAGTGCAGGAAAGAGTCCTAAAACCGAGAAGTTGGTTAGCAATCCAGCCCTTCCTGTTCCCTCATCTTGAAGTCAATGTTTTTTTTATCAGATTTTGTTTAGACAACAAAGATGGGTAAAGGATGATTTTAAAACAGTTAGTTACTGTAATACAAATATAAATAATAAAGACATTGTTTTAATTAAAGGGTTTCTATCATTATATCCTGCACTTTTTTATTAATAATTCTGCATATCTTACTATATACACAGACACACAGTTTAGTAAATATTGTAACACAACAGCATTTGCACTGCAAAATGTTTCAAGGATAGAACCTGAGATAAAACGTTGCTAGAAGACAAAGAAAGTTGGAAAAAACATTTAAAAAGTAAATAATTAACAGAAAAATATAACCACTCAGTATCTTATTTCTGGTGCTTCTCTTTTCATTCATGGGTAACATGTGTTTATATTGCAAGTGAATAAGATACAAACTAAGAGTGTACGTATTTGAAATATCACAATATATTTGACCAAATTCATTGATATGGATATAGAGATAATAATTGTACGGTTTGTACTTTTGGTGCTTTCATTAGAAAATGTGATTTGTGATTAACAATAATCAGCAATGTGAACGCAATGACTTAGATTGTAGGTTATAGGGTAAGATGCCCTCCAACAATGTGATGTAAAATAGTGCAATAGACATAACCGTGTAAAATGCAGGAATAAGAAAATATATATGTGATAAAACAGAATGTGAAACTAGATACTGCACAGTAGAATGAAGTCCTTTATATTATAATATTATATAAAAAAGATATGTTGACTCTAAACAGATAAATAAGACTAGCTTAGTGGCCTGTTTTACTCATCATATTATCACATTATTAAAGTTTCTGTTTCTTGTAGAAGGTCAATTGTTCTTGTTATTTTGTTGTGTGCAGCCGGCGCCCCCTGCTGTGGACTCTGGACTCTCAGACGGCAGCAAACACCCAGATCAGTCAGGTGTGTTTCAACAGTCCTGCCCTGAACCCAGAGGGCAGTGTGATGCAGGGATAATGAAGTGTTTCTGTTACTGAGGAGCTCCTGCTTACTCATTTCAGATTTTCTTTCCATTTCACATACTTTTAAGAAAGGAATTAAGAATACAAAGGGGGTTATCATATACATTTTAGAATTGTATCAGCCCCTTTCTCTCTTGAAAGGTTTACCATCACATTTATATTTAGTGGGAATACTTTTCATGCATATGATCATTTTCAGCATTTTCAGCATTCGTTTTTGTCACATTGGGGTGCAATATTCAAACCATTTATTTGTCAACATCTGTTACAAATTTGTTGAACTTTTGCGACATTTTCTGTCTCTCCATGGCTGCAGGTGGGACCGCTCGCAGGCAGACGGTGACGGTGCAGAGACCGGCGGAGCAGGGCTTCACGCAGCAGTCCATCCGCCCTCAGCAGCTGCTGGAGGGGAAGGTACGGACACATGAATCATCTCAAAGATTCAAAGGCTTTAATGTCATATGCACACAAGCTAGAGTCAAGAAATGGAGATGAAAATCTTAAGTCCTGAGAACAAATAAAAAAATAAGATTTGAATAAAAATAGTGCATCAGAAACTGAGTAGAATAAAATAGTGCAGATTATGTTGCAGCCCAATGTGCAAGTAATGCAGATGAAGTAAACTATATACATGTCATAAGCATACTTAATACAATAAGCTGAATAATGCAGAGAATGTTGAAAGTGACCAAGTAAATGCAGGAGTCTATATACATGTAAATAGAATAAGATATATACAAAACAGAACAGAACGTTTAATATTGTACAGTCAAATTAAATTAAATACTGTTTATTACAGTGAGAACAATTTTGATGAATAAATTGTCCGATGCAAACAGATAAATACTTTAGGTAATGGAGGCACTTAAAGAGCCCATGACATGCTTTTCCGGTAATTACCCATCCCCTTGTGTGTTATGTAGCTTTCTCTGCATGTAAACGGTCTGCAGAGTTACAAACCCTCAAAGTACACCCTGTAGCGAGTACAACTCTAACACAGAAAAGACCTGTCTATGCTGCCCCAAAACGCCTCGTTGGAGATTTCTCTTTTTCCATTGTTTTCTTCCTGAGTACAGTGAAGTAAGGGTCACAGTGACGTAACGGCTCCGCGGATTGGTCCAAATCAGCGGAGCCGTTACGTCACTGTGACCCTCACACACACACACACACTCACTCACTCACTCAGCCTTATCTTTTCTCAGCCTGAACTCAGCCTGAGACAGCGAGACACCGCGAAACTCAGCCTGAACTCAGCCTGAGCACACACACAAACCCAGTGTGAGTTTGTGTGTGTGCTTAGGCTGAGTTCAGGCTGAGTTTCGCGCAGCGTTCAAATTACCCATTTGCTTTCGGGGGAGCCCTATTTTTCAATGCACATCCTGATACTAAAGGCCTCTCCCTCGGTGTGGAGCTGTCAGACTCGACCCTAACGCCGCTTACAGCCGGCCAACTATAAGTTGTTCCGTTCACGTTGTCATTTTTAGACTCCTTCTTTGCTTGTGAATCCAAAAGCTGCGAGGCTTGGCTGTTTTCGTTTCGCCATGCTGTTTATTACAAAGCCAGAGTTAAAAAAATATCAATATGAAAATGTAAAATACCGTGCCGGTATCGCCACCGTAACCATTGCAACGTAAGTAGCGTAAAGAATGCAGCGCTGCCACGTACAGATGGCAACACCGAGAAATATTCACGAATGTAAAACAAATATTCAGAAACTGTAATGAATGGCTCCCCCCCCATTTGCGGAACAGTGGTTTTGCGCGTTGTGCGGCAGACCCCAGCAGCAACCTGGAAACGACACCATATTACAGCTCACACTGTCCGCTCCTCGAGCCTCAATGTATAAGGGTTTCCGTTATATGTCAGCGAGCCTGCGCAACGTTTTTTCCCGCCTATACACTTTTTGGCACCCAGACCCCAGGCGCTAGTCTATTCCTATCTGTGTCTATTTTATCTGTTTGTTCATTTTCTGTGTTGCTAACATTAACGCTCTATTGTCATACATCATAAAACCACTGATGTTCCCTTGTATACGGTGGTTTTGGACTCATCAGAACAGAGTGGGCGAGCTGACAAATCAGGAGCGCTAGGTGGCGTCATAGGGGAGGGGGCAGGAGCGCCAACAAGGCGTTAGGACAGAGAGTGAATACACACGTGTATACAGGAGATGCTGCTATGAGAAACCATGTGATTTGTTGTTATTATATCTATATGTGATCTAATTTATTATGATATTATTTCTAATTGTGTTTATTGTTCTCTAATATCTAATGTGTATTATTTTATGTATCTCAGTATGAATATTGTTCTTATGATTCATGGATATCTCTATATTCCATGTTTTTTATTCTATGGCTTTGTTTTTTATTTATTAGTCTGGCCTGTGGGATGAAACTGTCTGGGCTGGGTTTGGTTCCGTGTGTTCGTTTGCGTTTTGTTTGTTTTTTTTTTGTACCGCGCTTGTCTCTGTCTTGTTCTTTTGTTCTTAAGCAGATCAGTAATCTAGTTTGTTCTGTTGGTGATGTTGTTGAGGAGTGTGGTTTATATCTATTTCTCTGTTGACTCAAATTTAGAACGGTTGATGTGTCAAATTTTTAATATGTTTGTTGTCTAGTATTTTATATGTTTACATTGTTGATCGAAGTAATAAATGTTTAGTGTGTTGTATGGTTTTTTCGTACAAGTATTTTTATTCTTATGTTCTTGTAAATGAATTAATTTCAATCTATAGAGAATTTCATTTTTATCTTCTGTGCAAATATAGTGGACTTTATAATCTGCAGTAATGTTTGTGTTCTATAAATGTATTGCCACGAAAATTTTATGTCCTTCGTGTATTTCCTGTTAATTAGCGAAAATATATGTGTAAATTAAGCGTAGCGTTTAGTCAGAGTTATTGAATAATATTTTATGGTGATTCTTCTTTCTTCCCACAATTTTTTATGACATTATATTCTGCCAAAGTATTAGTAGTTTTTTTTCGTAATTTAACCTTTTAAATATTTTAGACTCAGAAATTACCACTTGTTTGAAATTACATTTGCCTGAATCTTACTTTTTCACGATTCTGTTTTTTTATTTTCTTTTCCCGGTCCATATGTCTGGCGCAGCATGTTGTCTTTTTCCATCATAGACTTAAGAGATGGGTAGTAAGAACAGATAATATACTGTTTGCCCCCCTCATCAGTGGTTGTGTTCCCGCTGTGTGTGGTTGCAGGATGCAGAGTTGCCATCTGGATCAGGTGGGCTGGTGACTTCCAGCTGAGCGAATCAGCGGGGAACTCATAAATAACGGGTGTATGATTCCCACCATCCAGCCCTAGATGGACTCGCGAGGGAATGAGGATGCTCTCTGTGCGGTCGACGTAGAGTGTTGGAGGATAACCTG